GGGGGGGGGGGTACAGTAAATGCGTGCATATATAAATTAAGCCGTAATGCAGTAAGAAAGAAAAGTGAGGGCGAACTGCTCGAGTTTAGAGATGTAGAGACACAGCGACCAAATGTAATCTGTATGGATCTTGTTAGATATGGATTCAAACAAATTTAAAAGGCATTTTTGAGACAATTACGAAAATTAGACTGTGGACCAGATATTACATACCAACCAAAGAATTGTTTTTACATTGTTAAAGGGTTGTAAAAAGGGGAGGGGCAGGATATATGACAAAACCCTATGTTGCCCACAAAGTCTGAAATATTAACTCTCTGGCACTTTACTGAAAATGTTTGCTGACTCCTTAAATAGAAGAAAGTATTACAAATTGTGTAAGAGAGAAGGCAAAGATGATGGACAGAGAGTAATTTGTCTTGTTCTTTTTTTTTAAAATACTAAGATTTAGAAAGGGGAAAGTCTCAGAAAGCTTTTAGGCTAAAGGATATAAAATGTAATAGGAACTACTCTGGACATCTATCTTCCTAAGACCTAAGAAAAAATCAAGAGCATTTTTTACAGTATCTATGGAATGATTCTTAAGATTACTTATTAACTAGGGCTATATACAAATATTAACTATCTCGCATTTTACAGTTTACGGGGTACTTAGAAGCACATTACCTCAATTTGAGGCTCATACATTCCAATGAAGCAGCTGTAAATCAGAAATGATTTTTAGTTATTATAGGAGGAAAGTGGAGCTAAGAGCTGTAAAGTGACCAATCCAGTAGTTTAAGTGCCAGCACCAAAACTTGAACCCAGATCTTGAGACTTGATTGACATCATATACGTTCCATATATCCATATTTCCATAATAATTTGCCTCCTGGTTTTCCTTTCAATTTATGCACATTGAGTTTATCAACAAATGAAAATATTTGGGTTCACATATAAGATTAAAAGAGGGTTCTCAAATCGGATTGTTTTCATGAGATTTCATCGTAATCATCTTAGAAAACTTTATTTTTTCTTAAATGAATTCAAATGAAAACTTATAACTCTAGATTTAAAATATAAGCCTGAAAGTTTAAACTATCTCCTTAAAATATGAGGTTTTTATCATCCGGTGCATGGAAAGGTCGCCGGTTCGATTCCTGGTGAAGGCACATGCCCAGGGTGTGGGTTCAGTCCTGGGTGCTTATGGAAGGCAGCTGATCAGGTTTCTCTCTTGCACCGATGTTCCTTTCTCCCTCTCTAAAAAAATCAAAAGAAAAAAGGACTTAAAAACAAAAGATTGTATGACACAAAAAACAAAACAAAACAATGCCACCCAATTAAAGGTAGCTTTTTCTGTCCAAAATCAAACAAAAATAAAATAGTCTGGCCCTGCCCAGCCGGTGTTGCTCAATGGTTGAGCATCAACCTGTGATCCAAGAAAGAGAGGTTCAATTCCCAGACAGGGCCAGTGCCCAGGTTACAGGCTCCATCCACAGCAGGGGGGGTGGGGGGGGCAGCCAATCAATGACTCTCATCATGGATGTTTCTATCTCTCCTTCCTTCCTCCAAACCCAGACCCTTCAGTCCACCGGCGGACGCTCTATCCACTGAGCCAAACCGGCTAGGGCTCTCATCAGCGTTTTTCTTCCTCCCTCTCTCTCTTCCCCCCC